TATTAGTACCATTATTTTGAAGGACGAGGTGATTCGGTTCTCAAGCAGCGCAGCAGTTGCGACAAATTGTAAGACACTTTGTCTGACTATTGGAAATAAAGCTAACATTAATTGCAAGCTTCTTAATATTTGTATAGTTTAGTAATGAAATTAATAAATTTTCTTGTTATAATTTATTATTGTTTGAATAACAAAAACAATTATTCAATTTAATGACTACTCATTGCTTGGATCAAGAATATTTCAAAATCGTTTTGAAAAGTGATCATCTTCAAAAACTTCAATCCCATAATGTGTGGGCTCCATGTTCTTTAATTAGTTATTATAAAACAGTCTTTTAATATTATGATTTTAGAAAAAAAATAACAGATAAATAACAGATTAAAAATGACACATACATACTGCCTTATTGTCTTTCCAAATGGAATTCATATTAATTATAAAGCAAATCACTTCATTTTTACCGCCCTATGCTTCAATAGGAGCGATACTTAAACACACATCTGTGTATATAAATTACTTCATTCAATCACTAATGCAGGCAAATTAGTGATTGATCACTAATATGATTAGATTATGTATGTTATTTTTAATGTTCTTTTCTATTTCAATATTTTATACCATATTTTTACTTTGATTTTTGTTTCCGAAGTTATATGGATTCATTTTTTAACGATATCAACTCGTTTTAATCCTTAAAGATAACCTGAAGTAGCGTAGCGTCTATACCAGTGGTGCGCACATAATGGCTTATACCATTTTCGATTCGGATGTAACCCATAAATAAAAACAAAACAACAATACATAACATCCCTAAAGCAGTGAACGCATAATAATTTTTGCATATATACATTTCTTTAACCAATTGTTGCAGTAAAACTAAGTAAAAATATGCAACATGCGAAGCAATGCTCTGCAAAATTGTACGAGGAACTCAGGTTCGAAAATAAAATCAATCGGAGCTTCAACTACTGAAGCTATGAACTTCCTTTTAATGTTGCAGAATTTGAATATGCAGACAAAATTTTATTTTTGCATTTTGGGTTTTTTTGATAGATTTTCGTCTTCAGTGATTACAATTATTTTTTTTATTTGGAAACTTCAGAAGTATTCACACAAACTTTTTTATCAATACTATTTATTGACTTAATATTTATTTTCCAATTATTTTTCCTTTTTTTTGTTTATTTTATTTCAAAATAATATTATATAGGTCAAAGCTGCATTTACAATTTATTAATTAATAATTAATTAATTGTTGAACGAAAGAATCATATAATTATTTTTATAAATACATTTATATGAATGTCATAACTTCTGCTTATCTACAGTTAAAGTGCATTGCAATGAATTATTAAATTATTGTCACATTGTTTAATAATTTATTGTTTTAGATACATTTGACTTTGCATGGCTACGTTAA